AATAGTGTAAAATTAAATTGAATTTATTAGCCAATCAGACGAACTTCTGTCTATGACCTTACAGCTGTTTTCATAATTTCTGAAACACCTGATAAAAAAACCTGTCGAATGATTTTCGGCCGTTTCATTAAGTTATTGATTTCGGCATAATCAATACATAACGATAATTTATAATTTATGTTCGTTATATGGGATCTTTGCTAGGAAAATCACCTTTCGACATTTTCCGATCGGGCTAATTCGGATAAATTCAAACCAATATAGCGGTACTTATTTGCATATAAATCATTTTTGCCTTTATTGATTCAAACGTTCATTCGATAAGCTATTGAATTAATACGGGCAAAAAATGATTTACATGTAAAAAAGAAACGGTATATTGGTTTAAAATGTTCCGAATTAACCCGCTCGGAAAACGTCGGAGGGTATATACATACATAGATTACATTGTAATTTGAAATATATATGCTTTTGCACAGACTAAACTCACTACAGCACTAAACATGTTGGGCAAGTATTTACAGCTGTTTTCATAAATACTGGGACACCTGATAAAAATTTGCCGAATGATTTTTTGGCCGATTCGATTAAGTTATTGATTTCGGCAATACATGTACTGTAATTTATTTTATCATCATAAGGTAGATGTGCGACGCTATCGCACTAAAATCAGGAACGTAGAAACAATATTTATAAATATATATGCTAATTCTTACATTATATCATAAAGCTTTTGATTAGATTTAGCATTACGACATAATCTTGAAAATCTATTATTAATATAGAGAGTTTCGCATTGTGATTCCATCAACTGACTTACAGCTATTACCATAATTCCTGTAACTGTAAAAATTTGCAGAACGATTTTTCGGCCGATTCGGTTAAGTTTGAAATAATAGATTCAATAACAGATAATTGATATATCAGATATATACGTAATTTGAAATCAGGCAACTAATATAAATATTACAGATTATATAACTACATATCGATATACATATCTTTGGTTGAATACAGAATTATGATACTTTCAAAGAACTTCGATGGCAAATAGTTGCAAAAAAAGTTAGAAGGCTTATCGTTCGAAAAATTGCCAAACACTTAGGTGTTAGCAAGTCTTCAATGAATCGGGTTCTCAGGCACTTTTCAAAGATATTGAAAAACTTCTATCACTTTCAAGAAAACCACGTTTAACACGAATGATAAATGAATGAAAAACTTGACTAGTATTTGTATGAATTACAATCCGAAATGGAATTTGTATCCGTTTTTTTATTTTTCTTGTTAAGATTTATTGGTTAACAAGAATAATCTTTTTCATAAGTTTTCGCACAAACTAAACACACTAACATGTTGGGTAAAGTATTCAAATAAAAATTTAATAACGTGAATGTGTCGATATTATAATGATAAAATTATCTGTAAAACAAGTATGATACGTATTATATACATGTAAAATATAAAATACCGATCATGCCAAAAATCAATAACTTAACCGGATCGGCCGAAAAATCATTCGGCAAATTTTATCAGGTGTCCCAGGAATTATGATAATAGCAGTAATTTATAAATCGTGTAGAGCAATTTTAGAAAATAAATCGATATGAATAAATTGAATCTAAATGAAAGGTTTAACAGTATTATAACTAGTTTCCGAGAAGTTAGCTGGCAAAATTTTTGTAATGCAAATCAATAATCATGTGCCACTGCATTAAAGTTATATACATACATATAATTTGTAATTTTATTGAATCTATTATGCTGAAATAATAACTTAACTGGAACGGCCGGAAAATCATTCGCAAATTTTTTATCAGGTTTTCAGAAATTATGAAAACAGCTGTAATTGCCTCTCTAATTTTTAGTAAAGCCCGGTCCGGGCCTGCTATTCCAAGCTTGTTTTTTTTTCAGGCTGGCTTGGGCCCAAAATATTTTTCGGGCCTTGGTTCAGGCCTAACTAGTGATGTACTCATGCGCATTGGAGTATTTTGGAATTTCATAATTCTGGCCCGCATAAGTAGCAAGCTACCATAATGCAGGCCAGAATTCCATGCGCATGAAATTTGAAAAAAGGCTAATTTTCCCATCACTAGGCCTAACCAAGCCCGGCCCGATCGACCGGGGTAAAATTGCCACCCAAAAAAGTTTCAAAAATCATGTGATATTGTCAATTCATCATAATATTTATAAAATATTAATTGATTTAGTAAGTGATTTTATTTTTTTCGATTCTTCAAATTGAGAATAGTGATACGGGCCGATGCCAAACGCTTGGGCCGACCAGGCCGACAAAATTACTCGAGCGGTCGACCGGGCCGACCATATTATTAAAAAATTTTTAGTCAAACCAAAATTACAAAACAGTCATATAGAATGATCTCCTATCGGTAATTTCGGTAATTTTTCAGTAATTTTACTGACCAAATTGCCATATCTCCAATAATTCCCGACAACCATGCTCGTGTTTTATGTTGGTTGACTGCCTCCTATCTCAAAATTCAAAAAATTGTTCATCCCCGGTAATTTTGATCAATCAAAATTTAGATCAGGTGTCAAAACAAAAGTGTTTTGTTTTTCAAGTAAAAAAGTTACGTGTAAAATGAAAACCAAGAAACCGTGTTATAGTTAAAGTTAGGATTAGAACAATATGGCGTCTATTAGTAAAACGTCACGAGGAATATTTTAATTATGCCACAGAAGGCAGTTTCCTAATTAAAATTTTGTAAAAAAAGTGTTTTTGCTTCGATTTTTACGTTACACCTGATCCTGAAATTCGATTGGTCAAAATAATTCAAATAACTTAGCCAAAAGTTCTGGCAACTTACATCAATTATCTCAGTAACTTACCATTTAAAACCTAACTTATCTTAGTCAGCCCGCGAAGGTGTGGGTCGACCCTCGGCCCGCTCGCCAGCTCGGCCGATGGGCCAGGGTCGGCCCGTATCACTAATTGAGAAGCGATCGTTGCAATCTCGACAAACTAAGTGATCTTTTAATGGCATAAAATTTAATAAACATAATATTCTAAAAATATGCCTTAACCCAATTTCCACTAATAATAAACGAAAAAAAATAATGAAAATCGAAATAAAATTATAAAAACTAAGAAAATGTAATTGCACCAGAAACCTTGTAGACTTTATTTTTAATGCTCTTCCAGAAGGCTATAACTCTGATTATTTATTTGAGCAAAAACTTTTTATAATTCTGAATCCAGACAATTATTGAAGAAAATATAATGAATAAAATAGTAACAAATGGCTCGATAGTATTAATAAAAACTTTGAGCCATTGCATAAATTGGAGGAGGATTTAATTATTTTAAAAAACATTGGAATATTCCAAATGCTTAGAAAACCCGTAATCATAATACTTTCTGGCTGTAATAAATATTTCGTTTATTGAGTTTATCCGAAATAAATAAAATTGCTTATCGTTATCATTTTGTTAGTCTAAATTTTTTTCGTTTGTATTTTTTTTGTTCAAGTTACATGAATTTTTGGTGTTCCTTTTTTGCTCATCCCCGCTTTAATTAGAATGATTTTGAAAATTCTGAAACCAGAAATTTACAGGAGTAAAAATGGTATTATAAGGAGATTTTCCATGTCGATCTCCGCATGGCAGTAATACAAAGATACACAAAAATAAATAAAGAGTTACTGTATGATGTAAATGATTTTCGTTTACTACTAGGTGTAACCCGTCGCTTCGCTGACGGCCTAATTGTTGCAATACAGCCAATTTAAAAACATCACACGAAACTAATGCGAATAAAATAAATAAAAATCATTATCCATAAACCTGAATAGTTTATTTTAATGAATTTTCTCTATACCCAATTTAATGCAAATAAATATAAACTTGTATATATTATTTTAAAATTTGATTACTAAATTTTCATACACACCCAAATTAATGCAAACAAAACAAATTAAATAATAATTATCATTAAACCGAATAGTTTATTTAAAATTAGATTACTAAATTTTATACCTAAATTAATGCAAAGCGAGTAAAATTAAATAATACTTGTACTTAATAGCATATTCTGAATATTAAATTTTCTTATACTCATCTAAATTAACGCGAACCAAATAGAATTAATGCGAGCAGAATAGAATTAAACATTTATAAATTTGAATACCCTATTTTAATTATGAAATAATAAATAAATAACGTATAGTAGTAAAGGGATAATGGTAAAGAAATGATTTTGCTGGGAAATGAATGTCAAAAAGGATCATTATGAAAATGAAATGACCCCTTATTTTTACATACAGTATAACGGTGATTGGTTCTTAGATTGCAAGGTTGTAAATATACCGCTCTTTATGTGGCCTAAAGACGTCATTAGCAATATACTGTGATATGCAGAAGTTGAAAGATGCAAAAAAAGTATAACGACTTGCCAGATATGTTGCACAATTTAAAACATTATTTATACGAGTAGTCAAAACGTCATCCACGTGAATCTAACGATTTTAATATAATAGAAGATTTACAAAATTATAGCAACTTAATGTTTGTCTTTGACAAATTTTGCAAATTGTAGTACACGGATTCTTCATTTAGCCGACATCCCACATGTACAATCACCTGATTGTCGTTGAATTGTGACTATAAAGTGATTTTATTGATCAAAAAATTCAATACAATTACGTATGACTTTCTATATCTATATTTTCAAAAACAACTTCGTACAATTGCAAATCAGGCAACATTCAAGTACATGTGAACTGCGATCTGTAAAATTTGCTCAAAGTTACTTCATTTTGCAAACAGTGATAAATTACTTTTGTACCTTTAAATTTAATAATTTCTACCTAAAAGTGTTTCCAATTGTGAAAGATATGACCGGTGACTGAATTACTATGTTGGGAATTAGATCTGATATCATAACGGTTCACTGAACAAAAACAAGTCATCACAAATAAAAGGATGACTTTTTGATAAATATTAAGTATGCACGGTCTCTTAACGTACGAATACATATAACCGAGATGGCTATTCAAAAGATTATTGAAAATCTTGGCATCACAGATTATCTTATCTTTTTCTTCCTAATCTTACTTATCTATATTTTTAACTTTTATTATAAATACTTAATTCGTCCTAATCCACTTCCTGGTCCGTTGCCTTTACCATTCATTGGAAACCTTCATAATGTCGCCTATGATTTGAGATTGTTCTATGATAATTGTAGATCTAAATATGGAGATATTTGTGAAATAATGTTTGATGGACGTAGATGTATCGTTATCTCGCGACCAGAATATATTGAAAAACTTATGTCTCAAACAATTTCAATGAGGTTACCATATTTGCAGGGTCTAGATGAAATTGGATTACATGGACATGGAATCGGTTGCAATGAAGTTTATAAGAGTTGGAAATATAATAGGCAATTCTTTACTCAGGCTTTACTGACTCCCAAATTTATGGATACGGCTGTAAAATCTACAAATAAATTGTTTGAAGAAATGAACGAATATTGGAAGTCACTTGGAATGCAAAATTCTTTAATTTGTGATAACGATAATATAGCCTTCGAAACTGATTTTTCTGAATGGTTTCATGCATTTTCAAATGATATTGTTTCATTAATAGTTACAGGAGAACGTACATATTCAATTGCTTCCTGCTACAATAAGCAAAGCTGTGTCAAGTCTGAACAACCCGATGCGTTGGTTGAAGATGGTGATAAATTCGTCAAAGCAATAATAAAACACGTTGAAGGTATTACATTATTCATGTTTGTTGGTCCGTTCTTGAGGCATTACGTTCCAATAATCAAAGATATGGCCAATTCTTACTTAAAAAATCGTGATTATATATATGACAAATTTGATTACATAATCAAAAAAAGAAGAAAAGCTATTGAAGAAATGCCAGTGGGTGCAGAAATGAAAACTGATATGCTAACTTCCTTAATCATTGCAAACACTGAAAAGGATACTGCTAATGTAAAAACAGTAAATGGTGAGATGTTTGAACCTATGGTTGATGAAGAGATTAGAAGTAATTTGATAGATGCTTTATTGGGTGGAACAGATACTGTAAGTACAATTTGCTTTGAAATATATTTGTTATCATTTTCTGTTTATTATTTACTTATAACTTTCTCATTAATATCTGTTTGTCTACATTTAGACTGCTAACGTATTTTGCTATATAACTTACTGTCTTTGTAAGCATCCAAATGTAAAACAAAGAATGATTTCAGAAATTGACTCAGTATTCTCGAAATCTCCTAATAAAAACTACCTATCAAGTGATGATCTCTCAAAACTAAATTATTGTGAAGCTATAATCAAAGAATCCAATCGTATATTTCCGATTGCAACTTTTATTACTCGTTATACTAATGAGGAGTGTGAAGTTGCAGGATATAAATGGGCTGCTGGTACATTGTTTCACTTAAATGCTTCGGGGGTACATGGTCACCCTGATGTTTGGCCTAATCCCAAAGTTTTTGATCCGGATAGGTTTTATAATAATGATAAGGTTAATAAAAAATCTGAAAATAAATATTCATTGATAATGTTTGGTGGTGGTCCACGAATCTGCCCTGGAAGAAAGTTAGGAACGTGTGAGCTGCTTTTATTAATGGCATTAGTTTATAGGTATTATAACGTTGAGTTAGTGAACATCAATGAACAATTAAAAGTCATTGCCTCAGCAACTAATTATGTTCAAAATTTGAAAGTTAGAATTAGTCCTCGAATTTAATTTAATTTCCCGAATTTATTTTAGCTTAATGAATTTTTTAAATTTACATTATCGACTTTTTTATTTCATAATTTTCTTTTCAATTTATTTATCGTACTGCGCGATAATCTTATACGTCTCTCTCACATGATCGACCAATCAAGTAGATCAAGTGTAAAACAAAATTTCGCATATGAAACTACCTTTCGAGTTCTAACAAAAAAAAACGTTTTGATTTCATGTTATGACGACATCGCTGGGCGATGTATAAATTATTCTTTCATTTATTTGAATTTAAATAAATTTTTAATTAAAGTTATCTAGGAATTATCTTCATTTAATATTTATAATTACTAATTATTCATAATTTTCAATGATTATGTCTGAAGTCTGGTTACTATGTGTTGTCTTTAGGGATGGGCAATTATATTATACCGTATAATAAAAATGGTATAATAACCGTATAATTGGTATAATATAATTAATAAAATGCTGTATAATTGGTATAATATTTTAATGTAACAAAGTTGGCCAATAGAAATTTAGATGAAATTTTTCATAGAAATGAGCAAGCATGTGACAAACCCTTATATACTTTCTAGATATTTATTATACAGTTATTATACGGTATAATAACAAGGTTATTATACCACAATTTTAATTATACCGTATAATTCCCATCCCTAGTTGTCTTTCAAAGATGGTTTAAACTAAAAATAATGCTTATATTAAATTGATTTGCATTAAACAATTAAAAAAATTAATGATTTTGCAATCATCAAAATTTTAGGTCAAAATTTATGATCTATGATAGTTAAAATAGCGGGACACTTCAAGAACAATGAACCCAGTGATAATCACATCACGTGAAATTATGCAATTACAGTACATCGTTTATTTATTAGCTTTAAAAAATCGGCCTAAACTATATTACAGGCTACCCGTTAATATCAATCAGGTGATTTGGTTGATATATGCGGGGGTTGATGGGATTAGTAATTTATGTATCACAAAGCTTCAACCAATCAGAACGCGCATTTTAAAGCAAAAGATAACGATAAGTATAACGATAATACTATATTATTTTTTAGTAATTATAGTTTTTCTCTAACCAACTAATGCTTTTTTGTGTTATTTAGATTTCGCTTGGGGTCTTTAGGATCTATTCTGGGTTATATATTTAGATCGTGTCGTGATTTTTACCACTTCAGTACATATTTTCTGGTTTTGAACTATTTACTGTTAGATCTCTTTAAAAGCACTGCAACGAAACCATATGTAAAAAGTTAGTCAAGCATGTGTAAAAAGCTATGAATATTATATTAGTTGGGCCTAAACAGAGGTATGCATATATTATTCAAGGTAATTGGTAAAACTATTTTACATTTTATATACTTGCAAGCTAAAAGTTCTTTTTTTCATTACTAATTCCACTTTTTTTAATGTGAGCAATAATGATATTGTATAGCACAGTTATAGTAATTTAAGGCCTTAACTTTTGTATCTGTGGGTACTTTGTGTAGAATTGGGTGCTATTCAAAATATATTCATTTGAAAAGTGACCTGATAGGACGATAAATAATATTCAGGTCTTAATGATGCGGTAGTATAGGATACTATAAGCAGTGCTGTACAGCAATATTACATGCTTGTAAATTGATAAATATAGTAATTGACAATAAGTGTCATTTGTTATATCTTTATTACCAGTATATGCTCATATTTTTTAACAATTAATTTACAGAAAACAAAAAAAATATTAAAAAAATATTATTATAGCTTAACTCTTCTACTAATATTATTTTCTGTAAAATGTAACTTACCTTCTTTATAATCATTTCTTATAATTTATAAAAATAATTTTAAAAAAATCAGCTACCTTTCTTTATTTTTTAATTGGAATATATTTAGACAAATTTGTTTTAACAAACTTTGCAATTGTGATAAATCTTGGTCTTTTACAAATTTTATCAGTTCTTGTTATACTAGATACTATATTAGCAAGCTATATTGTTTCAAGGCAACTGAATTTGAAGTTCTTTAATTTCAACATCACTTTCTTTATCTTTACTATTAAAATCTAACTTGTGAAAAACCTCTTCAATAATAGCAATTTTATCTAAAACAATCTCTTCAGTTTCAAGAGTATCATTGATTCAAATATAGTTATTAGCAGATATTATATTTATATAATCAGATAAGATTTTAAAAAAAAGATTTTTAAATTCAATTTTAACTTCAATTTAAGCTTTAACTTTGGCTTTGATTTTAGTTTCAATTTTGGTTTCATTTTTAACTTCAAATTCAACTTTAGATTCAACTTCAAATTCATCATTCAATATTTTAACTTAAGTAATTTTACTCATTTAATAGCACTATTCTAGTCTTTCTTCAACAATTAACAATAATTTGAGAAGTTACACAATCTCATACTTCTGTAATATATCTAATCATAACAATATTAATATTTTTATTTAATTTTTTATTTTAATTTTTTTTTAAAATTTTTTATTTTATTTAATTTTGTTTATTTATATCAAATATAAAAAAAAAAAAATATTATTATAGCTTAATGTTCTTACTAATATTATTTTTTGTAGAATATAACTTATCTTCTTTATAATCTTTTTTATAATTAAATAAATATAATTTTAAAAAAATTTATCACCTTCCTTTGTTCTTTTGATTGGAATATATTTAGACAAATTTATCTTAACAAATTTTACAATTATGATAAATCTTG